TTATTTTTACCCCTGGCTGTGCAACTGGTTACCCTGTATCATAGTCTCTTTTTTTATTGATGCCTTGTTTATACTCTTTTCAAAACACTGTTCATAACTGAATAATAAATATGGCATAGTATTTTGTGTCTCACTTGAAAGAATGAAATATATTAGCTAATTTTAGATTACTGTGGTGTTCTGTATAAGTTGTTTCTGTCAGACTGTTTTCTGTTATTCATCTAAAATGTTATTTATTTATAGATTACTGATACTGCTTTAATTGACTTTAAATTGTTATTAATTTTAATGTTTTTAAATGTCATTTTCTATACTAACTTTGTCATTCTGTTACGGGCCTCTAAGTAAATTTAGATATCTTTAGAAGAGTAAAGAGCTTTTATAAACTCTTGAAAGCTTATTAAATTGCACTGCACATTTATTAAGTATTTTGAAAGAGAAGTATTATCAACAAGCCATTCACAGAGTTAAAATACTTAGAAACAACTCTCATTTTAAGCTGATGCATTAACTATATGCACTCATCTTTAAAAAACAACAAATGTATCTCTATAAAATTTAAACATTGTCATGGTAAGAATTATTATGAATCTAATTCTTGCTGACAATATAGTAAGAGATTTATGTAAATAATTCAAGTTACAGTACTCTGGCACAAATGCTTGTCTACCTGACATGTCTACCTGACTGGCTCCTCTCCTTTTTCAGTTTTTCTGGAGAAACTGCTACACATACCTCAAATTTAGAGCAGATATAGATATAAAAAAAAAAAAAAGCTGTCTGGAGAACTTGAAAATCAGAACTTAAAAAAATAAATATCATAGTTAAAATTAAATTGCCCTGCTACTTCCTCCCCCAGCCCCCAGTCTCCTTATCTCTTCATAGGAAGCAATGAAAACTTTTCATCTGTTAGAGCTCTAAGTACATGCTGCAACTGAATGTCGGTATCATTCAGTATTAAAGCACATGAAGTCCTACTGGATGTGTCTGACTTCGCTGGTTCAGGCGGAAGGGATGATAGAGATTTCTTGTTCGAGTTTCCTTAATGTTTTAAAATTGAACATATATTGTTGCAACTTTTGGTATCAATTTAAACTTATGATAAAATACATCAAGACAGGGTCTTTATATGATTCATCTTAATTCATACTGTTAAAAAATGCTGTTTAAAGATGATTAGTGTAAAAAAAAAAAAAAAATCTGTTCAGTTCAGATCTTTGTAATGCAGAATGGCAATGCATTGCTTTTTCCAAAGTGCGCACATTCATTCAGTACCACATTTCCTGCTTCTGTAACCAAAAACATTTCTGATGACCATAATTATTATTGCTGATTTTCAGTGGCATAACGTATTTTTTTGGCAGTTTCTGTCCTTCATAGAAAAGGTCTTAAGCATTTATACAGTACTGCAACAGTTTGTGGGAACGCATGAATGTGGCCTTTGGGAGTTAAATTTCTGTGATATTGTGATCTATATCATGCACATTCTAGTTCTCTTTACCTATGTATTATCTGAACATGTTAAAAAGTTATTCCATGTTTGGTACTCTGTGTAACATAGATGCTCAGTTTTTTACGGAACTGTGACCTTTTTTCCTCTGATTCAGCAAACACAATGGCTCTCCAATTCCAGCACAGTTTATGCAACCATAATTGAACAACAGGCAGCATATACTGCAGTTTTACAATTGCAGATTAACTGGGCGTTATGCTTGTGTTGGTGTTGTGCTTCCAGATGGTATATGTAAAGAGGTTTTTGCCTGTATTCTCATATGTGGGAGCACTGCTTTGGGTCATTTGCTGCTACCCAGCCATCAGTTTTATATACAAGTTGCTATAAGTTGATTATCTTGGAGTTTTTACTGTTTGAAAATACAATTTTTCTAATGTTTGAATGGTGATCCCTGATTGTGCATTGGCTTTCTTCTCTGTGTTATGTGTTTGGGTACATGCATTCCCTGAAAGACTGCAGCAGTTGTCTTATGTCTTTGACCCAAAGCTTACCAGATTACTATCAATAACCTAGAGGAATAAATCTGCAAAGTGCTTGTGTTGGCTTCCATCATTATTTTTGTTAGAGACCAGCAATCGGCAAGAAAAAAGGCAGCAGGAAGTACTGGGCAGACCCTTTTGTGCTGTTTACCCCTCCTGGGCCAGCCAGATGAGGCCACCCAAGGAGGATTTCGGTAGGGTCATAGTCTAAGCATATTTGATAGACACTGAATCCTCAGGACTTAAACATGATTTGGCAGGTAACCAAAGGATGAACAGACTTTTAAAGACAACTTTCATTTTCAGTTACTTTTGATCATCCAGGAGTGCTATCAAGATTTAAAAATAAAAAATAAAAACTTATCAGTAATTTTCTACATTATTCTGTAAACTAGAATGTGAAACAGGCTGTAAAGTTGCCCAAAAGCTGGCAGAAATAGGAACTCTTTCTTTTGGATGCTAAAATAAAACCAGTGTCCTTGGATAATGTTGTTGACAATAGAGGAAACCCTGGTGAATGAAATGCTATGAGCATTAGTGAACAAATGTTCCTGGATGTTAGCTTTTGTGACCCTTCATTTAGATCCCAGATCTCCCAAGGCTGAAAAACGATGATCCGTTCTGTAATGAATTTACATTCCTTTGTTACATTTTTAAGAAAAATTATGACAGTGCTACAGAACACAGAATGCTGAACAGAGTAGTGCCTTCCTTGGCATTGGTTGTGACAGTAAAATCTTTCCAACTGGGACAGTTTCACATTATTATGGAGAACAAATATGGGGTTGCAAAATCCGTGTGGCCAGGATTTCGTACAGACCTTTCAGAAACATATGTGATTGATTTTTATTTTTTATGAAATGTATCTGAATATTAATAACACAGGCTTTTAAGAGTGTATTATGAAAAGTGTCTTACAGTAAATGTGCACAATTGCAGAAGAGGTCTTTTTGCCACTAATACGTTCCCATCTATCTTTCAATACATTTAATTTTGAGAAAAGATTGGTTAGAGAAAAGTTGTCCACCTGTGACATTTATAACTGGAAAAAGTCTTTGCTGGAGAAAAGGATTTGCCAGTCAAACCTTCTTACAAATATGCAGAAATATGTAATGTGTATAGAGGTGCAGAATTTGTTATAATTATCTGATTAGTAAGTAATTTTGAAACTATATCTGTGTAAGTGAATTTAAACATGGCAAAGCATGCTCTTGTGCACTGGAATACAATTATTTATGTTAGCAAATTGTTGAAATGTTCACATGCCGCAACTTTGCTGGTGCTATCTAATGCTCTTTCTGGACAGTCCTTGGGAGTGGTTTGGCACTGAGTCAGTCCAAGGACATTCCCAAAGGCATTTTGCAAGGCACTGTGCTGGAGGCTGTTCACTGTCTGGCGCTGGGCAGGGAGGTGGCAGAGGTGTGAGCGAACTGCCACTGAAGCATTGCTTGGTATTGGATACTGCAGCGTTAGGGCACCATCTTAATCTCCAAGGCATACCTGTAGTGGGAATTTTTTTTTTTATTCTACAAGATTAAATTTGGATGTCCTATATATTAGGTGAATTCTTTATATGATGAAAAAGACTTTTGTTGTTTGTTTCTGTTTGTTTGTTTTATTTTCTAATCAAGTATGGGATTGACCATTACTACTTCTTTCTCATCCTATCATTTAAAAAACCAAACTGATACACAGCATCCACTTACGAAGAGGCTAAACAGTGTACCAGTTGGCTCTGCATGAACAGTGCAGCCTATGTGCATGTGTGCAGTCAGCATGAGTAGCTCAAATTCATTAGATGTGCTGTGTATATGCAGGTAATCATCCTCTGTAGTTCAAATTGATTTCCATGAACTCGCATTATTATCAAAAGGTCATTTGGGAAAGAGGATAGAGGACAGAAAGCAGATGGAAAACCATGGTGACCTAAGTAGAGATGTAGATTGAGGATTGATGATTTTAAAAAAGTGATTTCTGTTGGGTTATTAAAAAAAAAAAATATTACTTTTCTGCTTTTATCCCAATTTCCCTATGCTAGTAGCAGACAGGTATATAGATACAGGGTTTTTTTGCCAGCCTGGATCAGAATGATGGTTCCCACTTCATATATATACACAACTTACTAATTTTCCCAGAGAAACAAAGAAGAATACAATGCAATAAATATGTTCAAGATATTATTTATTTCCATTATATCTCAGAAAATCTAATGGAGAAATAATGACCCCCTTCCAATAATTCTGCTATTCGGCCAAAATTAAATTTTCAACTAGAGAACTGATTAAAAATGTGTTACATTCTTAAGAGCAGAAACTGTACATGTTAAATTTTTAAACCTGATACATAAAAAAAAAAACCCAAAACATACATGAACATATTTTACAGGAGCTGTGATTTAGACTAGGATTAAATTAATTGTATTTCTGCAGTTTTCATTCAAACTCTACCATATAGTGAACTGCAATTCATATTTTCTTTCTAGGTTTTAAACTGATAATTAGCATGGTGACTGAGGAAAGTTTTTTTTTTTAATGGGAAAACACAAGACATTTATTGTCTTGGGTTCAAGTTTCTAATGGGATTGTAGTGGTGAATGCTCTTCAGTTCCGAAACATGCTTCTGGCTTTGATTCATAAAGATTCTGAATTTTTAGACTTTCAGCTGTGCTACAGTACCTGTTTTTCTCTGTTCTGTTCTGGCCGTTAAGCAGGTAGTGTGCTGAGCAGGTATTTTTACAAGCACATTTGGATAAACCATTCACTTAAAGAACAGATTCCTGGATTTTTGAAGTTTGAACGTATGAAGAAATTATAAGCTAACCCTTGTGGCATCCTTTTAACACATTTTAAGTGCTGTTATCTCATTTTTCCAGGTGCTATAAGTATAGAAGAATTAAATGTTTTGTCTAAAACTATCAAGTGATGTGAGTTATGGTTTGCACTGTTAAAACTTCTTATTCAGAGACAACATTCCTTCTCATGGTCCTCTTCTGTTCTTCTGTATTCTAGGTAATTGTCAAATCTGGACCAGGTACCTTTCTCAGCCTGGCTGTATATGATGATTATATCTTCTGGTCAGATGGAGTGAGGAGAGCTATTCTGCGTTCCAGTAAATATACAGGAGGAGATACAAAAGTTCTTCGTTCTGATATCCCGCATCAGCCGATGGGCATTATTGCTGTTGCCAATGATACTAACAGTTGTAAGTTACAAAGCAAGATACACTTTTTTGTAATTCCAGTATCATTCATTTCAATAATTTTTATTCGTTTTAACCAAGTTAAAACATTTCATGGTGTTTCATACATTCTTTTTGTTGTAGGAACTGTTAAGAAAAGGTGGGATGTAACCTCATTACCAAGTAAATAAATATTATTGAATGGCCATTTTCTGCTATGGACATTGTGCTCATTTGACAGTAGTTAAATGATTTCCTGTCAAATATCAGCAGTTTTGAATGTTGTGGGTTTTTTAAAATTATTATATTCAAGGTAACTCCATTTGTTTATTTTTAGTACGCTAGCATCTGAGGCCTGCTGACATTTTCATCTGACTGATAACACTTGAATCAATTGCCCGTGAATCTGAGATCTGGTGATCTTTGCTCTCTAAGACATTGGCCATTGAAGCAAATTTAATAAAACAAAGTCCATCTTTTATAATTTGTTTTTCAGGTGAGTTATCTCCTTGTGCACAAATGAATGGAGGTTGTCATGATTTATGCCTTCTGACTCCTGACGGACGAGTGAACTGTTCTTGTCGAGGGGATAGAATCCTGATAGATGATAACAGATGTATGAGTAAGTAATACTAGCTGACACAATGCTTTTCTATGCTGTGATGCGGTTGTCTATCATAAGCAAAGACAGTTGGCCCAAGCCATTAATTTTCTTGCTTCTATGTACTGTAAAAATTGATCTGGCAATTCAGCACATACCAGGCTTTTAACTATTTTATGTATTAAAAGGCTTTCGGGGGGTTATAAAGACATTAATACTTACACTGTCCTTAAATTTCAGTTTATGTTCTACTGAAAATTTCCTATTTGCAATTTGTTTCTGTTGAGTACAAATATTTCCATTTCATGTCCTTAGACATATAAAATAATTGTAACTTCTTAACCAGCTGTTGTATTTAATCATGTAGAATTGGTGTGTTAGTAATTCATGAATGTATCACTTTAAGATGGCAGACTCCTGGGAGACTGCTTTTGTTGGGGAATATTCTGTATTACACTGTTCTAAGTTCTCTTCTCGCATCTTCCCATTATTCCTCTGGACCAATATGTCTCAGCACGTGGTAAAGAAAATACAAGAAAACTATTTTTTCATAGTTTAGAAGTGGATCAGAATATATGGTCATCCATTGCAGCTACTTTAGATCATACTGTCCCTCTGCAGAATTGACGTTTCTGAACATGGAAGTATGTGCTGGTAATTTGGAAGGATGTGACATATGTACTTACTTTGCACTCTTCCGGCTTTTCTAATAATTTGAAGAAAATCTCTGTCTCCTTGCTAATGCTGTGCCTTAGCAGGAGTGAATTAACTGGAAAGCTTTGGGCTGTTTCCCCAGGGATGACCCACATTCATAATGTAGAACATGACTTTGTGCTTCTCCCCTCAACAAGTGCAGCTGGCTGGCTTTGGAAGGGAGGGAAAGCTGGGAGGTAACCGTGCGTTGCCTTATGTCTTTGTTAATGTCACTGTATTGTCACAGTTAGAGACACCTTCCAAATTTCGGTGGCTTATTGGACCTTTACCTCTGTGGGGCAGAAATCCCAACTCTTAAATCAAGTTCTCCACTTCCATATCTATCTGCCAAGTATGCCTGTTCTGCTGCTTCAGTTTCATAGCTTTGACCCACCTGCTTTCACTAAATCAATTTTTTTTGTTATAACAGTAGAGAGGCAGTATAACATTCAATAAATATTATTTTTAAGTTTTGTATATGATTTAGGAAGTTTTACCATCCTGCTAGAAGCTTAGACAGTTTACCTGCTTCGGGCTTTACTGTGGCAGTCTGTTGCTCCTGAATGGCCTGACAAGTGGCTTCTCTTCTACTGATACAGAGTCATTTTTAAAATGATGGTCTGCGTATACACAGAGTTGTTGGTGTGGGATATGAAGAGATGTAGTCCTTCATTAACCTACCTGTACTGGTTATGTTGCAAACCTACTCCTCTGCTAATGGAGCTTATGCCACTGATATTTTTCATGCTAGAATGATATTAGACTTTCCTGGTACATCTGAGTCAATAGTGTTTTCATAACAGGAAAGGATACTGTTATTTAATGATCAGTTGAAGGAGAACAAGAAGTGTGCTTCTCTTAAGGACAGTCTTATTTTCCTTCCCACCGTATGCCTTTCATCAGCAATAACAGCTGTGTAACTGAATGATGACTTAACTAACTTGCTTGACTGGGTATCAGGATTTTTTTGTTTTAGACATAGTTTTGGTGGGTTCAGTGGGCAGAGCTTATTCAGTTTGACACTGCAAGATCACTAGAGCCGCTTAGAACTGCTGAGAACAGAAGGTTATGATGAGGGGAAGGGTAGAATTACCCCATTAAGTATTAGTGTGATTTAGACTAGCATTAAATTAATTGTATTTCTGCAGTTTAGGCAGCCTTAGGGTTGGAGTTAAGGCAGCCTTAGGGCTGGACCCCAGTCCTTTAGAATCAGGTTCTTAGGCTTGGCAGCTCAGCTACATAGCTTTGTGAGGAGCCTGTAATTAGGTTTATACCACACCAAGCTAATTGCTTGGTTATTTTATCTTAAGATTTTAATCCTAAGATTTCTTTTGCCATGTTTATTTTGGATTCATAGCTTTGCCTCTTGCTTAATTTCCTAAAACACTGCTATTAAATGAAACCAGATGCATACATTAATTGTGCATATAAGCAGTATATAACCATACAGTAGCTACCAACATGTCCCAAACAAATGTGTGAATCGTTACAGTTTTAACCTGCACTTTCATACACTTCATAGTTCACCGTTGACCTTTACCTTTGGCTCATGCATACATGCTGTTAGTTGTTGACTGAGTCTTACACAGTGCATTATAAGGTCACTGATACTTCACAGAAAGACCTGGTTCTGTAATTAAATATATGGAAATATGAGGGTTAAAACTCTTATCATTCACCACAGGGAATATACAGCTGATCTAGAGTGAAGGTGCAGTAGTGAAATAGTGTACAACCAATTACATTTACAGCTCTTACCAAAGTGGTTTTTGAGTATAATTGAGATACAATGAATTTTACAGATGATTTGCGGTAATAAAGATTTCAGTTTAAACTATAACGCTGTTTCAGAGTAGCAGACCTTTAGTCTAGTAACATAATCCAGTGATCAATTGAGACTGTATGGGCAGGTATCTGATTGTTAATGGTTCGAAGATGTTAATTAAGACCTTACTACTTTACAAAAAGATATTTTCCTCTAGAGCCAAATGTTTCTGCTTCCTGCATATGGAATATTATCACCAGGCTTATATAATCACCTTATTTCACCCTCCCACAATGGTGATCATTCAAGAGACCTCTTGGACCTATAAAATTTCCTTAAGTTCCATTACCTACTAGCTTGCACTTGGTCTTGTTGGTCAGGTCCATCACTTGCTCAGCTAGTGTTCTCCCATCCCTTTATCCCAGATATAGAGTGTGGTAAAGTACAGGAATTGCTAAGGATGTGGAATTAACTGCCACCACCTTCTTTGAATCTGGCAAGGAATTTTTCCTTCATTACAAGGCTGCCAAGAGCCTAGTGGGTTGTTTTTTTTTTTTACTTTCTCAGAGCAGGACAGAAACCTCAGTGGCTGATAAAGACGACAGGATCAATTGTAGCAGGTTAAACGTTTTTCAATGCTTGGTTAAGGTGTTTATGTCATAAACATTTCCATTTCCTAAAATAATCAGAATCAGACAAAATACAAAGAAGGGTTGGAATTCTTAATGCCTGGAGCAGTAAGGAGACAAATCTTTCACTGATCCTCATTTTACCTTCATTAAATGTAATGGACTATTTATTTCATGCAATAATTTAAACTTGTTGCATGAATGCAATAAAAGTCCTACTTTATTTGGAGGTGGGAGAGAAAGATGGCTGCTGGTATCCCCAAGAGGTTTAAAAAACCCAAACAACCAAGATGAACAACATAACTGCTTTTATGGTAGTAAGATACTACTTTCTTATTCATATTTATGATTTTTAAATATATATCATAATTACTACTGAGATAGACAAAAGTATCTATATGCATCCATTGGGTCTGTCTAGGGCTATATCAGAGGAGTTACTGCAGTTGAACCTTAATTAAAGCACTTTTTCTCACCTGTTTCTTTACCTTTTTGAGGCAGTGATCAGCAGTGGAAGTAAAAGAGGTTCAGCAGATAAATTCATAGAGCTGATAATTTATTTTATAAAAATATATGGTGTTTATATTTTCCAAATGCATCACAAATCTTAAAATTGCTATTAGGTAAAAGAGGGCTTAAATCCTCATCTAGACCATGATGTAAGATCCCATCTTCTAAATTATTTTGTAGAATGTTTGCAGGAAAAGTTGATCTGAGTTGTTGGTCCAAAAAAAAAAAAAAATATATTAAACATTGGGGTTGACTAGCATAGGAAGGATGATGGAAACAAGGCAGACTTCATAGTTCAGCTGTGAGATCAAAAGTTTCTTTCTTCATAACAGTTGAAAGGGATACTCAATAAAAGCAATTCCAACTGATAGAAGGAATTAACTGTCCTTTCGAAATGTAATTAGACTATGTAACTTACTGTCAGTCAAGATTCTTGAGACAAAGCTTCAGTAAAATTCAAAGAAGGATGGAATAATTATATGGATAATAAGAGTACCCAGACTATTTGTTTCTAATCAAATATACAGTTTTGAAAGGCATTAAAATGCTTTGGCTCTGGAAGTTGTGGTTTGAAGCAATCTCTACAAGACTTTTCAGTTAGACTTCAACTGAGGGTAGATTACACTATACATACATTTTGATTTTTTTTTTCCCCCGTCCGTCTCTAAAGATTGTGGTCTAAGATGCTGAACTAGATGAACTACCAATGTAATTGAGAATGACTTTTCCTAAGATCTAAGTTCTCACAGTGCTAAAAATAGATGGAAAAAAAAAAAAAGAGAGAAAAAAATATGCTGCAATAAAGTTGATTAACATTTAAAGAACTGTATAAATCATATTGAAGCTCAGATCTCACCTTGTCCAGAATCTATATTTTCAGCACTTTTATATTTTTTTTCATGTTTGACTCAAGAAATGTTTTCAATTTATATTGGCTTGACTTTTGCATATAGCAGACATCAGTTCTTCCTCAATTTGTGCTGAAGTAATTATAGTGGAAACAAGAGAAAAAGCATAGCAATTAATTATCGTTTCCTTATTCTTCTTCTTGAGTTTGATATTTTGCTTAGAACCATACACATGAAATAAATGTACTATTCAGGAAGTTCAAGACCAAATTGCTTTGTGTAAATTTTGTGATACTTTTTTAATTTCTAATTGAACTAATAGAAAATCTACACGTAAAAGAAAGCTGGAGTCAAAATTTTAAATGCACATCTTATTCTCATCTAAAATAATAGATAAGACATCCACTCTGAGAAGGCAAGAACACAAAAAAATTACATGTCTACCAGTGATTTTTTTTGTGACTGAAAAGAAATAAGTACAAACAGCAGGTTTTCTTCATTGGGTGTTAGGCTGTATCTTCAACAGTGGATGTAGCACAGTGATGCTGGTACTTGTGTACACACTGAGCAGCTGCACAGTGCCACAAAACAAGAGTTGAGAGTTCAAATTAACTCCTACGTAGTAAGTGTTTACTTCTTGCTGTCGGTTGTGCTATGTTGAAGAGTTGTTTTCTGAGCGTCTGTTACGATGGTTGCATACAAGCTTGGGGTTGTGGAGAGGCATGTGTAGGTAGAGGACGGCTGGGCGTAGAAGTTACAAGGTCATCATCTTATCAGTATTGCTGCCTTTAAGTTGCTTCACTATACGTTCCTTCATGGATATCTGGCTATGTATTTTTCTTTTACAGTCTCTCTCTTACCTTGGCTTGGAATTCACCCCAACGTACAATTTCTGAAAATTCTTTGTTCTTTAGATATCTGTCCTCAGCCCTGCAAAATATGAACAAATTTACAGAAAAGTATAGCGGTCTTGCAGGGCACCACTCTCTAAAAGCTTTTAAGTTCTGATGCCATGGTGGGGGTTTTTTGTACTTAGGTTTTCAAAAACTGTATAGGAGATGTTTTAAACACAGCCAGCATTTTTCTCATTTTCACCAAGCACGTAAAAGCTATTAAAATTACATATTAATATGTTTTATTTTTAGCTAAAAATTCTACTTGCAACATTTATTCTGAGTTTGAATGTGGAAATGGCGAATGTATTGATTATGAGCTGACTTGTGATGGTATAGCTCATTGTAAGGACAAGTCTGATGAGAAACTGTTCTACTGTGGTAAGTATTTCCAGATGTTTCACCTTCACATTTTGTTATATGTACTTATATTGGTTCCTTTGTGACTTTTTTAGTTATTCATACCAACTGCTTGCCAAGATGCCAAGAAGAAAACGCCAACTTGCACATTAAAAAAATGTTGATATTATATGGATAGAATTACTTATACCTGAATATATTTTCCTTGCAAACTTCATGTATTAGCTGACTTATATTTTAAAAACGTATCTCAAATGTTCTCATATTTCTGTTTGTAAAACAAAAATAAGGAAAGCCACAGCTAGCTGCTATTCCAAAGACAAAAAAAAATAGTATTTGCAGCTTTAATTTAGCAATTTTGATTAAGGTTTTTTATTTAATAAAATTTTCTCTGATTGTGACTAGAAAACACCAAAATATAAGTATTATAAAACACAAAAATGTGTAATAGAAGTCTTTCCATTCCATTTTCTGGTTAAGTTTATAATATCATTATTTTCCCCATCATTCAGTCTGCATCTTGCAACAAGTTAGACACAAGTGTGTCTGCTCTTCACTTTCATATTTTTCCCAAGGGGTTCTATCCTTCTCTTCCCCGCCCCCCCAATAATCAGTAACTGAATCACTTCCAGGTTTTTTGTGTCCAACTGAGTTTGCCTGCTGCAGGTGTCTAAAACTGTTCAAATAATTTTCTTAAATCACTGGATCACCTTAGTGAATTCGTGTATCATGCCTGTTAAGTGAAATCTCCTTGTTACCTGCGTGCCTGTAACTCTTAGCCTTTATCTTGGTTCTGTATATTCATATCACAGCCTTGGTATCTCTTCTGTTTCTCGTATGAACAATGTTATGTAATTTCAAAACCACCCATTTATGCTTATGCCTGCCACCTCTATATTTTTATGAAAATGCTTCAATTCCTGGAGTTCACCTTTGTCACTTTAACAGAATTGTACAATCCTAGAACATCTCAAGTTGGAAGGACCCATAAGGATCACTGAGGCCAGCTCCAAGGTTGATACTGTAATAATAGCCAAAAAAAGAAATGGAATAGCTACCTTCTTTTTTCTTTTTCCTTACAAAAATTAACACCAACAATCTCAGTATAGTAACTGAAACCATGTGATTTCTTTTTTTCGTCTTTCATCTTCAATTTGTGCCCTGTTAGCTCTCAGGCTTTTATGTGGTAATTGCTCTGATTGTGTTATGTAAATCTAACAGTAACATTCTGTCAGATCATCTAGCTGTAGATAACTAAGGAGGCTTGTTTGCTTGAATCTAAAAAACAGACATCAGACAAGAAAATAAGAATCTGGAATATACAAGACTTCTAGGTGGGGGTGAGGAAGGCCCAGCTTCAAATCACTGAAAAGTAAATGATTTCTGGCTGTGAATTCCTTCTTAGGTTTTCTTACTAAATATGTGTTGACATACTTGTACTTATGTGTGCATCTCGCTTAGGCATAAGAAGCAATTAAAAAAAAAAAAAACTTAAAAAACCAAAACCACCACCACCAAAAAACCCAGTCAACTATATTTTTATATGGATTAAACCTCTCTGTTTCTACTATTCTAGTAATTTATTTCATTCACAGTTCATGGAAGAAAGATTAAGATTTCATATAATTTCTTTTACTTTGTTAGATAGTTTATTTTACTTTGTTAGGAGAGGAGAGTAGGTTGAAGGATTAGAAAGTCATCTGAGAAAAAATAAGATAGCTGTAGCTGGTGAGTGATCTCAAAATATTATTTCTTGTCATTCCAGAGAAGTTGCCTTATACATCAGAATAGGTTTGAGGTTTACTGACCTGCTAAAACTAGTTCATAATTTATTCTACAGTACTGAAAAAATACAAATGCAAGATCCAACAATTTGTCTTTCCACAGATTTGACACATAATTTTATGAAGGACATTAACTTAATTTGCAGTGTGACAGTATACATTTTGCCTAATTTGAATTAACCATACCTGAACGTTTTGCTACCCATTGGAAAAAGCAGGAAAAACTGTGGTTCTTTCATGCGCTAAGTCGTATACATTATGTTGTTTTCTGAATCTGATGAAGTACAGGATGCTCAACTCATTATTATTGATTAACTAACGCAATGAACATTATTTATTTATTATTGTGGCGTGACTTCTGCAATGGTTAGGGCTTTAGTAAATCCTGAATTTTCAAACATATTAACATACATAAAATTCATAAAGTCTTCAATAGTGTACCTACCTGAGCACAACACTTGCAGTATTGATATTCAGAAATACAGAAACTTTTCTGCTAATAGTTTCTGTTATTTTACTCTCCATTTATTCCTGATTTGATTTAGGGCAAATTTGATATGTTTCATTCTGTATGATAGATATATTATTGATGCTATATGCAAACATTGTCGCATGCCTGACAAAAGTGTCTCTAAACAAATGCATTTAATGCACATTGGCTTTTTATACCAAGAGATAATGAAAATTGGGAATTAGGCTTTCTTTTTTCTTTTTTTTTTTTGTCATTCTTTCCTTTTTTTAATCATCATGTTTTCATTTGTTATTCTTTATCTGTTTATTAGTCCAAGTTCTTCTGCTGGACAATAAATGAACAGTTTCTGAAGTTTTTCCTGTAGCTTCAAATGCATTTTCATTTAAAATGTTTTTCTGGAATGTTTGGTTTTAATGTAAGGCTATTTTTACTGTATATCAAGTGCCTAAATTAAATTATGTGCTTGTACTTAACTTTCCAGAAAATAGAGGCTGTCGGAAGGGTTTCAAGCCATGTTCTAATCGTCGCTGTGTTTCAAGTAACAAAGTATGTGATGGTGCAAATGACTGTGGTGACAACTCTGATGAATTTGACTGTAAAGGTAAATGACAGTTACTTCCAAGGTGGCTTCAGAATATTGTTCTGTAAAGACTTAAGTATGTCAATAGAGGTAGTTAGGAAATGCACGTAACTATTGGAATTACAGATGCTGGGATTTGTTTTCTTAGAATTCAAAAACAAGCAGGTGCACACTGGAATGTCTGAGAGAGCATGTGTTGAGATTGATAGAGACTGATTTTGGTTTACACCTGCAGACCTCTAGAAGGAGAGTGTTTTTGGCTATGGAAAACTCAAAAATACAGTTGCTGCTTCTTCTGCAAAATAATAAATGAGAGAGTATCTTTACCACAGACGGAAAGCTTGAAAGATGGGCGATTTCTTCTCTGCATCTGCTGCACTGTTTCTTCTTTGAAGTAGCTAGCATTCTATTTCTTTGCTTCTCAGATGCATGGCAATGCCTGTGTCCTTTGCAAAACTTACCAGAATTGTTCTCCTTTTTATATCAGAATTGTTTTTCTTTTCATGTCCTAAACCATGAATATTTATATCTATGCATCAGCCAATGAATAAAGACTAGCTAGCAGACAAAACAAATCCTTAGCTACAATTCAGAAAAACTGGATGGGAAATTATTCCATTATACATAGCTAAAACCTATGTGGCTGTAGTAACTAGTATTTTTTTTTAAAAAAAAACACTGCATGGGTTTTAATCATTTAGCTGAATATGAGTAGAGAGAAAAGCATACAGGCAAAAACCCCAACCTGGTGTTACATGAAAGAAATATGAGAAATTCATAGATGGTCCTGAAAGTGCTGCTTCCTTCCTTACATGGTGATTATCTCAAAATGGGTTGAATTATCTAGAGAGAGACTTTTAGGCTCAAAAAATAAATTTGAAAATTAGAAACTTATGCTTTCAAGTTTATTAGACCTTATAATTCTACTGAATTTTTAGCTATGGAAGGTACAGTGTGTTCTGAATGCCTCATCCTAAAAGGTAGAAGGTTTAAACACAATACATATAATATGCATCTGGAGAGTCTGTTTAGTACACAAACTTACATCTTTTATAACCGTATGTTATAGATTCAGCATGTGCTTCAACAGAATTCCATTGTGCAGATGGGATTTGCATTGGAAAATCAGCACAGTGCAACCAGATCATTGATTGTGCAGATGCTTCAGATGAAAAGAACTGCAGTAAGTTCGTGTTCGTGCTTCATCGTGGCATCTGTTCCATGATTATTGCTTGTTATATAGCAGTTAATTCATAGTCATTACTAGATGGATACCAGCAGCTGCATGATCTGTGCAAACTCAACCTAAACCTGAAAAGCAAACTGTAAAGATCTCAGTCTGTATTAGGTGTGCTATGGGAAATTACTGTCTCTTTCCAGATAATACAAACTGTGCTTACTTCTATAAACTTGGAATAAAATCTTCAGGATTTATTAGCTGTAATTCGACTTCACTTTGTATACTGCCAGAATGGATATGTGATGGATCTAATGACTGTGGAGATTTTACAGATGAACTAAAATGCCCAGGTAACTGAAAAAGAAAAAAAAAAAAACCTAATTTACTTTTTTTTTCAAGTTATATTCCTATATTTCTGTTTCTTTTTCTAATTGTGTTGCAAAATTTTATTCATTCAACACAGTTTTATTTATTTACAGAGATTAATATAATGCTGAATGAAGTTTTTTTCACAAATCTTTATTTGTATGTTTCATTAGATTATGCACACTATTACAAATTACTAATGCATTTCTCTGAAGAAAACTGTAATTTCTGGCTTTCTATTTCCTCAAGATTAGGTCTGTCATTAATAATTTTTATTTAAGTAAAACGTCAGTCATTAAAATCTCAGTATCATCAAGCTTCAGCACAATCACTTGGGAACTTTTATTAGCTACTACTTTAGTGGATGATACTTCTTTTCTTGTCTACTTTTTGACTTTTCTCTTTTATTTTGTTGATGTAATTGGGGTAGGCTACCAGGGTAGAATCCAGGCTTATTGCTTTTGTGATTGTTCTGGTCTTCAGCCAGTACAAAGAGATCATGGTACACTTGAGTCCTGGTCCCAGGGCTGAGATTGTAGGCTTCCAGAAAAGGAAGAGGTATTTACAGCTGGAGATTGTGTTATTTTTCTAGGCTTTCCCTGTCTTTTTCTTGTTCCTGGGGGAAAGATATTATACCCTTATGATACATAGCAAAAAAAAAAAATTATAAACTTTGTGTCTTGTCAAATGAATCATATGAAAAACTTATTAAAATAGAGATGGGCAAAGAACCAATAACAACAAGAACTGAGGTAAATAACTTACATGGAAAAAAAAAAGGAAGCAAACTTACTTGACATTTTAAAGTCTTATTTTTTCAACTTCTCATCTGACACTTTTTCATGAGAAGCCAGAATGCTAGCACATTAGAAACATGTTTTCAAGATATATGCATATATAAATTTGAAGGAAAGCCTCTACTTCCATGAGACTTTATGATGCAGTTTTTATTAGAATGACCAGAGTGTTAATGAACTTCAGAAGTTAACATAAAGTTTAAATAGTTTTGCCCTCCGAGGCTGTCTAGTAGCAATGGAGGGAAAGATCCCTCAAGCAGGAGTGTAGGGCTTTTGTGAAAGTCTCCTCTGCAGTCTTGAGAAATACTCATCTCATAATCATGGAAAGCATCTGCTTTCTATTCTTTCATAGGTTATTTGGATTACCCTAAACTCAGAAGTGGTGTACAAAACCAAATTCTTAATGGTGAATGAGTATAAATATCTAGCTGTATTATAAAAAAAAATATTTTTCTAATATGTTTAGGGTTGTAGGATTTTTTTTTCAGTGATTATAGAGTCCATAACCCCAATTGCTGAGACATTTAATAGCAAATTTAATGTTAACCAATGAATTATTCACAATATGAAATACTTACCTAATGAAAGATGGCATTTATGTGTTTGCTCCTTTATTATTCAGAACCCCTCACATTTGAGAATATTAAGTCCAATATGTAAACATACCTATAAATAAATGATGGATAAACTCTATTTAGAATTAGAATACTTTAATGAACACAGTTTTATTGATACATTTTTGTAGGGTTAGGCCCATCCTATGAAATTCTGATCAAACTGAAGACAGTGCACTTAGCAAAAAAACTCTGTGGACATCAAGCCTGTCCTGCACCTTGAGCTTTTGCACAGACTTCTACAGAATTAAAAATTAGTAGGTTTTTGCTCATAGTATTCCTATTACTATCATCTTCCATTTGTTCAAAAGAACCTCATTTGTTCTTTTAATCTTTAGTCTACATGTATTCCAGTTTACATCTGTTCTTATGCTGAGAAGGACCTTGTAGGCCTTCAGTAGTCATATCCGTAGTCTTTACTTGCAATGGCAAATAAGCCAAGGCATTTTCGAATTCCTGCTCTCAAGATTGGTGTATCTGTTTGTGTCATCTTAATCATCTCAACCTCCATCTCTCTTGAATGTACCAGACCAGTATCCAGCATATCAGACAAAGTCTTACTTTTGCCTTGTATCACTGAAAATACCTTTTAAATTTTTGTTTATGTTTGGTTTTATAATTGACTCATGCTAGATTGTAATTGTTTTCCTGTGACCAGTACATCTTTAATTCTTCTAAGAGTTATTATTTAGGAAAAATAAATATTTACTAATTAATAAATGTTATTAATCAGTAAAAAGAAAACTTTTTATTTTATGTTAATTACCATCCAATTTTTTGCTAGACTAGTAATTGAAATCATCTGATTATTCCCATTTAATATCCTCTTTTTCTGCGTGATGAGCCCATTGTGTCACCAAAAGCTTCTGTTAGAATTCTGATATACTTTGTGCCACCTTTATTGATTAAAATATTACCAGGATCCAGAAGGAACCTAGAACATCAACACTAACGCCAATCAACCTGACATTAAGAACTTTCATCTTCTCTATAAACCAGATACATATTAAATTATAGTTTTCATTCTAATCTCCATATTCTCTAGATTAGCTAATAATTCTTTAAAATTTGCTGTATATAATGCATCATTGAGCTTAAAATAGCTTAGATTTACTGTATTTCCTTTGTCTATAGGGGTTTTTTTTCCATACCGAAGAAGATTTTGAGGGCAGTGTGCTATAGCTTCAGTAAACTAATGTTGCATAAGTAAACTAATGTTGCATTTTACTCCATTGTCCATTTATTTGTATTGCTTTATTCTATCTTTCGAATGTGTGCCAAAAAGTTCCATCATTTTAATGTGTGACTAATTGCCTGGATCATTCCTCCCTTTACTTGGAAGTAATACTATTCCGATTCAACCTACATGCGATTTCCTTTGCCATGTCATTCAAAACTGACTAACTTTGGAACATTAAGTTTTTGAGTGTTGCTTCTATTATGAATATGATAATTCCCATTAACAGTCTTTGTTCAGTGTCATTGTTCTTACAGAAAATTAAAGTAAAATACTCATTTAGTGGTGGCTATACTCAGACTATCTTTAATATCTACCCAGTCATCACAGGCATCCCACTTCTTTCTTTATTCTTTTTTTTTCTATTCATACGGCTGTAGAAGTGATAAATACGATTAACTTCAACTTTCTTTTTAAGAGGGGGAGGAGAGTGGGGAGAAACAAAACCAGTGTCGGTAGCCCCAATACCTTAAAGGAGTAATAGACATTTTGGCAGAGAGCTTCAGTGATCTCCACTGTTTGGAAATATTGTCTATCACCTGGTTTTTTCCAGGCAAAGACCTTGCTTGAGATTTTGAAAATAACCTGTGCCACTCATTAGACTAACATTTGTGCTTATGTCATGAAACTAAATATATGATATACTTTCTTTCCTCATGTCTGTTTTCTAAGCATTCATAAAAGTAAAATCTTAAATGACTTTCACACTCCACAAAGAAAAAAGGCAAGGAGGAAATTCTAAATTTGTGACAGAGTCTAAATCTCTGGCTCCAACATCAGTGGTATAACTCCAGTTAGTCAGTGCAAGCATCAAATTTGTAGCTTATCCCAATGAATGTGACAAAATACTGCCACAATTAGGTTATCCTGTAGATGCTGGCAGATAGATCAGAAGGGCAATTTCTTCAACTTGTGTAAAACAACAAACAATGTTGATTACCTGAGCTAAAAACCTGTAAACTGAACTACTTTCCTCTAGAAGTCCTTTTAATTTAGTTTGAAACTGTGCTCTGAGTCTTCTCTAAATAAATTAAGTATTTCAGTTCTCTAAATTACTTAGCCATCACTATTTCCTAATTTGTATGAACACAATTAAATAGTATAAGTAGTATTTTTTTGCCTTTTTAGACATAAACACTTTGTTGTCCATTAGTATTCAGACATTTAGCAGAAATATGCTAGGCTCCTAATCATACTAGTAGAGACCATTTTACATTACATTCTTTATTTTATCACAGTTCAAAACAAACCCACATGTGAAGAAAATTATTTTGGTTGTCCTAGTGGAAGATGTATTCTGACCACCTGGCTTTGCGATGGGCAGAAAGACTGTGAGGATGGAGTAGATGAATTGCACTGCGGTGAGCATTTTATCTTACTTTAATTTTGTAATCACTAATGCACTTTGAGAACAGAAAGAAGTGTGCATTCATATCTCAGAGATTGAATTTAGAGATATATAAAAAGGTCTTTATTGCTACATTTTCAGATTCACACTGTCTAATACTTCACACTGCCAATATCTTAAACCCTATCTCATGCCAGAATGAAAACCCTGTTGTTTTTTTCCTAAAAATATATTTGTATACAGACTTTTCTATGGCTTTAATATATACAATTTCACTAATTCTTTATAATTTCTCATCAGGAAAGTTTTATAGATATAATCAGTTCTTACCAATATCTTCCAACCCCAACAGGAAGTATCCAGAATAGACCTTTATGATATAAAAATAGAAGTTTCTTTCCATGAGAGGCCATACAGGTATAATGACTTAACGTAACAACAAAAGTGATAGGAATAAAATACAGCATAAACTGCGAACCCGATTAAGGGTCCATTTTGTCTCAGCTCTTTTAAGATTCTTATTGTGGACCAATGCAAGCTGATTTTGCTCACAGTAAGAGCTGGTCTTTTAACTTAAATTTGTATGGGTTACATGAACAGATTATTTCTATAACTGAATTGTAGCAGAACAGCAAAAGCAATATCGAGTTTTCCTATTCCCCATTTAAATAAAACCTGACATTCTTTTTTTTTTTCTTTACCACTTAATATGACTGAAGATTAGATATTACTCTCTTCATGATCCATTTTCCATTAACATGCTTCCATGTTTGGTTTGCAGTTTACATTGTATGTATACATCTTAAAACTTCAAAATTAGGAACTACTGTGCACTATGAAAATCAGAAAGTTTTGTGATGACCACATTCATCAAGCGTAACTTGGTGTTTGTCTTTCCAGGTTTTATTACATATACATACTTACATGCAATATTGTAAAACCTATTAGCTGATTTTTGTGGGAGAAAGGGAAGGGGATTTAGTACACTCTTTTTTCCCTACTCTTAACCATTTTGAGGTAGTTGTTACAACACTCTAGTTCAAAGTTCAGATTGTATTACCTAATTTTTTTTTATTGTTAATATTAAAATTTGTTGTCATCCATTAAATAAATTTTATTCTTAAAGAAAGACGTCTGGGAAAAGTGGATGATTTCAAATTTTCAGGAAATGTCATAGTAGTACCACTTATTTAGAAGAGTTGTGCAGACTTATTTTGAAATGCAGAAGCATGCCATTATTTCAACGTATACAAAAGTGTAAATGGGACAACAGAATGCAAATACACAGCACGTTTTCTTGTGAGAGAAAAGAACGTGAAATCTTTTACAGATGCAATTAAATACTGCAATACCGAGAGGAAGACCCTGCTGGGAAATTCGTACTGTGCCATTTCTGCCCTACTACCAAAATAGGGCAGTTGACTGTATTTATAACATCCATGTGAAATACACAAACCAGATTTATGTTTTTACAGTGTTTGTCCTCATCCCACTAGCAAAATGTTTAAAAATATTAGAATGTATGCATTTTGAATGTTTTAGTATTTATTTAGATACATATATCGGTGAATGTAAAGTCTTGGACAAACTGATAACATCCTGAACACCAAGATTAGGATTATACTATGGTTTAATACACTAAAATTGGAAGGACAGAAAGGAGTGCTGTGGAGATTCCTAGACTATGCTAGAAATTACAAGGAACACAGTGTTGTTGTGAACCTAACAAATGCAGTGGCTGGTGTCATTCCTAGATTCGTCTTGTTCATGGAATCAGTTTGCTTGCTCTGCAAACAAATGCATCTCTAAGCAATGGACTTGTGATGGAGAGGATGACTGTGGAGATGGTTTAGATGAAAGTGATGCTATCTGTGGTAAGTCAAATAATTTTAGTTCTGTATTGTGTCAGATTGTACATACTGAAGGAGACCACGTGATCCAGGAAGGTGGTGGAAAGGGAACAAGTACAGCATCTCCGAAGAGCATGTAGTTTAGAGTGTTAGAGCATATCCTCCCCAAAGCCACTCCAACCAGCAGCTAGATACCTTTTTATGGGGACTATGTGATTTGTGTGTTGTCTATCCGTGAAGATATGAATGGCACAGCAGCATGGGCAAAAGGAGAACCAAACTTTTCACCAGTTCCCATCCTTCTGGTAAAACCCTGTATCGCTATTTGAGCTTTACATTTCAGTGGTAGGTGCCTGAAGACTCTAGAGTTATTGTTTGTCTCCCGCCCCCCAGCTCTTTCTCCTAATCCCTTTAAAATTTTGTATATACAGTCATAAGCATTATTGCATAATATTGCTCTCAAATTCCCAAACCCTTCAAATTGCATAAGGAATTGAAGGTTTTACTTTCATTCTGGGGCTCAGTTGACTGGAAATGTATTAGTGAATTCCTTTCAAAAGAAAATCACATTGTGTCTTCATACTGTCACAATTTCGTGGTATTTTATACATTGGTTCCATCCTTATCTATGCTGTATTTAAAGATTTTCTCTTTAAAATTTCAACTTTTATTCAAAAGGAACAAGTATTTAAGAGTTAATCCTCTTACTTAAAGCCCATTCAACAAAGAGAATTTTCTTCCACATTTCAGGTGTGATACCATAGCAAAGATACCATTGATAATTTTAATGGAAGTGTCAAGTAGAGAAGAAATCTCTTCAGCATGTATTCAGAGTTGTGGTTGTCAAAGTAGTTGCTTAATCAAACACAGACATAGAAATGCCAAGAAATGAAAAGGGTGAAGGTGGAAATTACACTGTTCTAATATGGCAAAATACAAATGAATTACAACATTAACTTCAAGTTGACATCCATTTACAACATATTTTTTCATTTGGTCATGCTGAGGACTGGGGAGTTGAGGGCAATATCTGTTTGAATGAGAAGATTTCTCTCTGCCCATCTCCCCTAGGAAAGGGAGAAGGTGTGAAATGAGAAGACAAGCACCTCATCTGTAGCTACTAAAGAACAACGTGAAACCCTAAGGAACATCAAGGCCTGAAGCTTAATAGGAAACAGAGCAGAAAATAGAAAAAGGGAGGGGAAAACAAAGGCCAGCAAATTGCAAAGTGTCACTACAACATTTCTTTTTTTTTTCCTTTCTTTCTTTTAAGGTTGTTCAGAATTACTTCTTTTGATATCTTGGCTTGCAATACATTGTAGATCTCTTATTAGAAGAAAGCCCACCCATAAAATTGTAGGCCATCTCTTGAAGAGCGAAAAATCCACACCAGTTACAAAGAGCAGGGGAGTTAAGGCTGTATTTCTCCTTAGGGATAGGAAGCAGATCTGAATAACAAGAAGAAAAAAGAGATTAAGATGACTTCAGATTTTTCACTCTTACAAAATCAGTATTTATTTAACACTTCAGAAGTATCAAAAAATGGCAAATGAGCATGAGTAAACAAAAGTTGTCTTCGTCTTGGATAAATAGTACAAAAAATCAAATTTGGGAATTTGTTTTACTATTTTATTAATTTCTAATTAAAATTAGTAGAAAGTACAGTCTCCTTTTAGTAAAGTATATTTAACTTATCTAAGAGAATACATTAAGTGATGGATTGCACAAAAGTTTACTTCCAAACAGAGCATCATTAATCTTGGGATATAATATTCTTATCTGGAGAAAAGCCTGTTTAAAAAAAAAAAGTCAAATAAACAATATGTTGAGTTACTTGCATTAGAACTGTCAGACATTTTCTTACTCCCACTACTGTTGTACATTGTTCTCTTCTACATGGGGCACACTCATGCAAGTTTTGAATACCTTTAGCCTCCAGGCACTGAGTATAGTGATGTGAGGATTATGTGGTTTACAAGATTAGGTCCTCTGTTCAGTCAGTCCAAACATGCAGCCAAACATAAAGACCAAAGTTGGTTTGAAAAGTTATTCTGCTGGATATTTTTCACGAGGTATGGTAAATTAAATTTCCTTGTAGAAAATTAAGAAACTGAATAAATGAAAAGAATGGAAGAAATAGCGGATTGTCGAAATGTTACTATAAAATACAGTCTTAGCCAGTATTTTTTATCATACTGTGCAAAACAAAATCTTCTTTCAGTTTTGGAATAAAAAAATCCTTACTCAGTCATTACCTATTACCTTCAAAAAAAATCAGTTAAAACATGTTCAAAAATCACCTGTAATGTTTTTTCAGGTTCAGTGACCTGTGCAGCAGATACGTTCAGTTGCTTAGGCTCCCATGCCTGTGTTCCCCAGCACTGGCTTTGTGATGGTGAAAGAGACTGTCCTGATGGCAGTGATGAACTGTCTACAGCAGGCTGTGGTAAGTCTGCATGTTAAAAATGTATAGTGTTTCTTTTCTTGGTAGCTTTGCCTTTACAATATCCAGGTGCTGTTTGTGTCAATAGTATCATACCTTTATACTGTCAAGATTGTTAGTAAAGGTTGATGGACCACGTGTGAGCACACATACCAGGATCCTGCAACGCTTTAATCAGTCTAAAATCTTCAGGTTTTGTTAATATATACTGAGGCACACCAGCTGAAGATCAGTATGTGTGTCACATCATAGACATTATACATCATGTTTACTTATGAAAATTAGCACATTATTGACTGTGCAGTTTTATTCTTCTTGCTGAAGAAAATGCTGCTGCATGTCAGGGAGATTATGCATCAAAAAGGGAAGTACAGTTTAGTCTCCAATTTATTCTGTCTAATTGTTCAGATCTTGACATCTCTTGCCTTATAAACTATTACTTCCAGTCCTCTGAGATACATTTCTATAAAAAGTGTCAGGAGTTCAGTAGTAGTTTCATTAGGGGATTTGTTTTATTAATGTATATAAAAATGGTATAGGTTAAAAATACTGATATATGTTCTGTTCACTGAATGCATGTTCTATCACTTACCATTTCTAGGCTGAATTATATTTGGAGTATTTGCGGATTCTAAAGAGCTTTTGTTCAGGAGCAGAATAACATAGGAAGGACATCTGTACTTCCCAAATGTTCTTTTCCTCAGAGGCAGACTTTAGGTTAGTTGTAGACAGTGTCAACTTCTGAAGCCTTTCTGTCTTGGATGACGTGAGGTTTTGGCTATCCTTACTTCTTTAGCTATCTCTGTGATGATGAGTAGCTTTTTTTGCTATTGAGTTGTGTGGTGCTCTTTCTGTTACTCAAAAGATATGGTTATTTCCATTGAATCCACTCAGACTAACTCCTTCTCATTTTGTCGTTTTGTAAGAAAATGGCTGTATATCTTACTATTCTCAATTTCATTTATTTTTATGTACTGTATTTTCCTTAGCTCCTAATAACACTTGTGACGAGAATGCTTTCATGTGCCATAACAAAGTCTGCATTCCCAAACAGTTTGTGTGTGACCATGATGATGACTGTGGAGATGGATCAGATGAATCTCTGGAATGTGGCAAGTATAACAAAAGTAGAGTAAACAGAAAAACTTCAGACTGTTAACTGTAAGGACTTCTGGTGGTTTTTTTTCAATAGTGACAAAGTAAGCTCTTAGCTTTTTAAAATTGTTTTAATGTTAACTTTAAAATTATGGATTAATGAATATTGGTATTGTCATTGTAGCTCCAGCTCCAAGCTAAATTGTTTGCTATAGTTGTGACTTACAGTTGATCGCCAATAACATTTAACAGAATTTAAAAATGTACAGTCTATAATTTCTTGTTCATTATGTATTTTTTTAATTTGTCTCTATACACATATTTTTTCTTCAAATAGTGAAACATTTCTGCCATGGTTATTGCTGCAGTTAAATGATATAAACTAAAGCCATATGTGAATGTTTAATTTTCACCATTCATACAAATTTATGTTTTCTTATATTATGTGAATGTTTGTATGGTATATGTAGGCCAGAGTCAGAAACATTCATCTATATCAATAATATTTATGGAAAATACAGAGCAAATATTCTGTCCAAAAAGACAAATTATTGATTATCATGCCTAGTTTTGTGCAATTAAAATCTATATTGCTTATTTACTCTCTGAAATGTGCTCAAGAGATGAGAACCACGACAGGAGATAGCTAGCTATGTATTTTAGGCATTTCTGTTACACACACACCTGAAGAGTGTATGTGCATAAATGATGTAAGTAGACATCTAAAGATTGTAAGAGAGAGCATGTTTGGTATTTGCATTTAGTAAAATTTTTCATGTAAAGTTTGAGTTGAACATGTCATG